GGGGGGGGGGGGGGGGGAGGGGTTGGTTTGGAGGACTGAGGTAAAAGTTAAATATGTTTTCTTGGTAATGGAGTTAAAATAGGGGGCAAAAAGGCAAAAAAACAATGGCATACGTTAGTGTCATTACATGTCAAACTATGATTTAGTGTCTAATAGGGATCAAAAGAAGACAAAATATTATGGCATTCTATTATCAGAAGTTAATGGGAAATTTTCAAAACCTATTGAGGCTACTTTCTTAGAAATTGTTTTTTTTTTCTCAAAAGGTAAATTTCATTGTGAAAATGGGTAAATTTGGGATGGATTGGAAATCTTCTTTCTCGTGTTTGTTTCGTCATCTATGTCGTATCTCTTGTCGTCATAATGCTTCTACTGCCTGTTATTCTCATCCATTTCTTGGTAATTTTTTATTTCGAAGAAATCTTAATGATAAGGAATCTTCGGAATTGATGTAACTTGTTTGCATGCTTAATGCTATTACTTCATATCTTGATCCTTTGTATAAAAGTGTTGGGTCGGTGATCCACCGGCTCCTTCCTTTGTAGATAATCCTTTGAGTCTTTGGTTGTCGTTGATGGTCCTTCACTTCCTCTCTTTTACACTTAATTGAAGATTTGGAAGGCTATAGTGCCTTGTGTGAGTTTGTGCTTGTGTTAAAATCAATACCAATGATGTGCGTCAAAAAAGAAGACCAAGTGTTTGTTTATCTCGGTAGTGTTGTTTTATGTGTAGAGGTGATGGTGTGAATTGTTTATTTTTGCATTGTCCTATGTTTATCATTGTTTGAGTTATTTGGTTGAAAAGAAATTAGAGAATTTTTTAGGATCAAAGCAAGATGGTGGAAGAATTACGGGATCAAATTTATTTTTTGGCATCATTTTAGGCCTTGTTGCTATGGACTTTGAGAATGTTCCTCTTGTTTGTATTATTGCAAGTTGTAAAGCGCCTTGTGATGTATAATGTGGTCATCAGCTCCTAGTGGTGCTATGCACTGTTTATATGTTTTTAGTTGTTCTAGGATTGGATTGCTTGTTCTATTGTTCACCTTCACTTCGGATTTCATACTACTACATCATATTAGTAATGAAATTTTGTTTCTTATGAAAAAAGATGCAGAGTTGTTTTGGCATTCATTTTTTTGTTTGCGTATATTTGGTATTTATCTTTTAATAGTAGGGTTTAATAATAAATTTTGATTTTAAATTCTAACTTCTCATCCCTTCTTATTATCCCCTTACTAATTTCTTCTTGCTCTCTTTTTCTTCTTTCAATCTGCATCAATTTGGTATAAAAGCTCTTTTTCTTCTTCTTCTTTCAAAGCTGGTATAGAGTGTTTTTTTTTCTACGACCCTTAAGGTTACCCAACTTTGAAAGGATTAAACTAACACTGGTTTTGTTTTCTTACAATTTATTTTTTTATTTCTTGACATGTGAATTCTTTTCCGAGTGCAAGTCTTATCCTTGGTTCTGACTAACCACCCTCCCCCCCCCCCC